TGCCCGGGTGCCCGTACTGGGTTCCAACGGAGGCACTGTGCTAGTCATGATCATTGCGCAAAGAAGTGGGGATGGCCTGGAAGGGGGAAGCCATTGAACTCCACGGAATTGCAGAGATTTGCAGAGCTTCGAGAAAGGATATTGTAGGAAAATTTGGGCACCACCAATCTGACTTTGCAGCAGAGACTGCAGGTGCACCATATTGCGTAGACGCCTTTTCGCTTGCCCGAGAGCCAACCGAGATGAATAGCAGCCACTTGCTTGACGTTTTTACTCTGGACCGCCTGAGGCTGGCCCAACCGCTAGTCCGCAATCGCAGACAGACCACAGCTTTCTCAGGCAACGTGCCATCGTCTTCCTGCGGAATCATGCTTTTCAGCAGTCTGACTCAACGAAATCGTTTGCAGAACCTTTCATCATGGACTCCCCACGAACTTGTTCCAGACTTGAAGGCGGTGGTTGCAAGACCGTCAGCTTCCAGCGGAAGTTTCGCAGCCAGCTGCAGGTGCCTTCCCGAGCCCGATGCCCAATGCCCGTCCATTCTGTACATAGGATTACGGAGGCACTTTGCGTGTTGCCACCGTAGCGTTCATTCTGCGGAACTGGCTAAGCTTACAGCAATGCTTTTCGTTTTCTGATGCGTTTTTTTCTTAATTTCGTTTTTTGTATGTTTTTCGCACAGGTTCACTCGAGGCCGATGACAGACAAGTTCCGGCGCGGGCTCCCCTCAACGGGAGGGTCCAGGAATCTTCAGATGCGAAGCTTCCTGGTGCCACAGGCCAAAGAGCTGCTTTCCTCTCAATGAGTTAATGCGTGGCTTTCATAGTAGAAGCTGCTGTGGGTTAGCCTTGATAAAGTACGGGCTGTGGTGGAAGGCTGCAGGTAAAAGCATCATCTGGCAGGTGTTATGCCGACGCAGCTTTCGCAGCTTGCTGAGCAGGCAGCTGCACAGGCCGCTGCATCGACAGTTCAGAGCCGCGCCGCTGGGACCGCTGTGGGCTACCAGCCGCTGAGGCCTCAATGCAGAGACTGAATGGCTGTGTAGCAACGGTCCTGACAACCGACAACAGCAAGAGCTCCTTTATTGGTCGTCTGGCTGTTTCCTTGAGACCCGATGGCGGGGACGTCGACATCACTCGACTCCCACCTGACCAGTGCCGAATGCAAGTCGCCAACGAGGGTGTGCAGAAAGGTGCAGGCAGATACAGCGCATGATTTGCAAGTCTGCGCCGAAGCCTTGTTGTGATTCTGCTTTCAGGCGGGGCTGGCGAGCGAAGGTTGGGGTGAGTGTGCTGCAGAAGCCGCAAGCCATGAGAGAGTCGTGTTCAGGGTCGAGAACCCACCGGCTTGCCCAGACTTCAGGCAAGGAGCATTAGAATGGCCTGGGCGAGAGTGCGGCATGGGGGGGATGGTGTGCTTTGCTTTGAGGGTGCACATGCGTCCGGACGGCACCTTCATCGGTGCAGCTCGGTCACAGTCATTTGGAGGTGCAGGGCTTGGCGAGGTCTCCATGTCATGGCTCATCCTGATGTCAATATATGTCAATGTAAGTTTGCTGAGGAGTGGAGCGGCGACAAACTCTTGCTGCTGCTCAGTCCTACTCTCAGAATCGCATAGCTTGAGAGTCAGGGATGAAAGGGTGCACCCTTCCAGGAACGACCTGCCACGGTCCGTGCGGCATTGCCAGCAACCCTTTAGCCCCGTGGCTCGTGCCCTCGACGCCGCTTGTGGCAGCTTTTCTGGTTTGTCATGTTGTGATGTTGTGCTCGTCCCTTGCAGCTTTGCCGCTTAGGGCTTGTGGGCAACAATTTATTCCATGCGATGCCAGGTGACATGCGGGGTCAGCAGCTTCCGATGTCAATCTCAATTGCACCACCGTCGCCTAGTGGCTCCTTCGCAAAACAACCAGGCCGATCATGATCAAGCAACCACAGTCTGATTGCGGATATGTGGTAGCAGAGTCCAATGATTTCGTGCACCGGATGCGCAGACAATAAGCACCATCTTGGAAAGGCATAGAGGCTTGGTTCTTGGGGAAACACAGTAGTAGTGCGGTTAATCATACGCTAGTATGTAGTAGCTTATGCTCTCTTCTGCCTTCAGGCCTTTCAAGACCGACAGATGCACTGGGCTCAGACGATCTGGACGCACCAACAACCGCCATCAAGTTTTCTGCATCCGATGCCGAGGGCTAATTAGGGCCTCTAGGGTCAGTAGAAGTGGGTGACGTGGGTGCATCACAAGAAGTTCCCTTTGACCTTTCCTTTCCGTAGGACCTACGTTGCTTTTTCGGCCGTGGCAAAGGCCTTAACTACCGTGACCAGCTTGCCTCAAGCCGGAGGGGCTTCAGCCTGGAAAGCAGGACAAGCAGGCCGAAGCCGCTTGGAGTTCCAGAGCATTTGCAGAGCTTTGCAGAACTTGACTCCCCTCCACTCTTGACACTGGAGTCGTGAACTGTGTGCCCCCTCGCCGCAGCAACAATAGCCATGAGCTCACCACTGCTGCTGCTGCTGCTGCTGCTGCTGCTGCTGCTGCACAGGATGCGTGCGTGTTTGCAAGCCTGATTCTGTTTTCCTTGTGCAGGGCGGCAGATGGCACAAGAGAACCCTTTCCAGACAAGACCTCTCCAAGGGGGTCAGGCGGGTCTTTGGGGCACTACATGGCACCACGAACCATGCCAGACAAGCCGGCTTAGTTTCCTTCTTTAGGGTTGGAGTTCTGCTCTGCTTCGTGCTTTTCCCAGCCACCGAACACCGGAAGACGATGCTTATGCAGTTGTGTGTTTTGTTGTTTTCTCGTTTCGTCTTTCTGTCTTCCTTCCTGTGATCCGCTGCTCAGGGGCAGTCCGCCCTACTGCCCTTTGGGGGTCTTGGCTCATCAGAGGCGGCCAACTACCTGTTTGGACCAATTAACCCAAATCCTTTCGGCACCATGTCAGAATATGCAGAGTTGGTATGTGTTGCCGCTGGCACACCGAAGTCCTGATGGACTGCTCTCAGACCAAGGATCGGCGGCCATCGGAACCACGCGCCCATTCAATAACTTTCCAGCACTAGGCCGGATATGCACTGTGGCGGTAGTGGCTTCACCACGCTGCGCGGTGTTGCCTTGGATGTAGCACCTGTCTTTGCGTCATCCGCTGTGAGGAGGCTCTGTGCGAGATGCAGGCGGCAATTTCTTCTCCAAGCCGAGCTCGACACCGACCTCTTACATGAGCCGAGGCATCGACGAGGTGCTCGGAGTTTGTGGCCATGTGCCTTCTCGGTGTAGCCGCATGGCATAGCCGCATAGCCCCAGAACTTGATTTCACCAGGAGCTCTCGCGGCCCGTGGGCGTCGAGCCTCCGCCGCCACCGCGCAGTGCTCCGTCGCTGTGCCTCGGCATTGGAGGCATATGGGGCATGCCGCAGACCTGGTCCTGCCGCTGCCGTCTGCTCCCGTCTGGTGCCGCATGCTGCCGTATGCTGCCGTATGCTGCCGTGTTGAAGTGCTGAGGTACCCTGACGGTGACAGCAACATGCAGCCAGCGGCCGTACAGCAGCCACAGCCTTCGCAGCACGACGTTCTACCTTGGAACGAGCCGCGCCGAGGCAGTCCTCAGGTTGCTTGTAACGTCATGGAACCCTTGGGTTCTCTCTGCATTCTCTTGTAAGTCGGACAAATCTGACACACTGAGTGTCCCTTGTGCATGCAGCAACAGGTATTTTCGAGGGAATGGAGCTGTTGCAGTTTCGAAGCCTTCCAGCCACGAGACATACAGTTTTCAAGCCCTTGCTGCGTCAACGCTCACTTCGGCGAATTGCTTGTCCGCGAGAGGTGTGGGTGTCACTCAGAATCTTGGCAGCTTGGAAGCTGCGCAGGGCTTCAACAACAACAAAGGTGGGATGGTTTGCCAGAGTGCAACGGAGTCCAGCCAATAGTGAGAGCACATCTGTTGCGCGCTTGGGCAGGCAGCCACATGAGATGTGAACTGAAAGTTCGAATGTCAGATAGCCACTGGGAAAGTTTGAGATTCTCTGCCGGTCACTTGACAGAATTCAGGCAGTTTTTGTATCGAAGTGTATGAACATGGCATTCCTGACCCAGTCAGGATGCATCAGGCTTGATAGATGATGTCGTTTGTTTGATTTTGCTCCGTCCAGGGGTCAAGTAAGCAGTGCTTAGGTTTATTGACCTGTCTAGGCAAACGGTAGATGCTGAGATGTGTGATCATGTGTGATCCAAGGTGATGACTTGGAGTTCCAAGGAAGGCAGTTTATCCAGAGCTGCTCAGCGTGACAAATCGTGACAAAATGGTACCGGACAGCTGTTGATAGATTTGAGAGATGTGACTCTGATTGTGAGAGCGAACACGCCCAGGGTAAGAGATTCGTAGATGGAGGTAGCAAAACAACAAAGAATGCTCAAGACCACGGCCTCTGGCCACTGTCATGCTGAATTCTTCAGTAAAGTGCCTCTCCTGAGGACTCGGGCTGAAGAGTGCCTTCCTTTCTGGTCTTGTGGCGCGCTTGCGGCAGATGGTGTCAATTCAACAGGACTACGAGGCTTGGCAGCATCCCAGGTTTTTGTAAGATTACTGAAACAACTGCCAGTGGAACCGGCAAGCCACTACGATTGCCTGAGGCGTGCGTGGATGTGGTGGATCTCATTTGATTGTCAGAGCTGAAGCTCGTCGGATGAAAATGCTAATTCACACACACGGAGATGCTTGCGCATCCGTATAATTTCGGAATGATAAGAGATGTCCCAACAAGCCAGCTTTCACATGTACAGCAAGCGGGCGACCTCGCTGTTGGTGTGACTGTTGTCCGTACGGTGGCGTGCAAGGGCAACTTGCCCACAAGTGGCAACTACCTCATAACTGGGATTTGCTCAAATCAACCCCGGGACTGATGTTTGTGACTATGATAGTCGTGTACCCTTTGTACACCTCGGTTGGTAGACGCCGGCGAAGCACTTCCACAGAAGTGCAGCTTCGTTTGGCAGCAGGGCTTTTGCCAGGTATGCCCGTCCGTTGATGGAGAAGCTGGCCGAGGGCTTGGTATTGATTTACACAGCTACAAATTTTTGCACGAGGATGAAGCTGAGAAAGTGCAGCTGCACTGCCGCACTCTAAACGAGGTAATGAAGCTTCAAGGCTCTCAGCATCGTGGCGTGGGAGTCCTACTTTTGCAGCTTGTGGGGTTGCTCTTGAAGCGGATCATGTGGGCACTTGTGGGCTTGTGTTGCTGCTCTGGCTTGCCGACGAAGGTTAGGGAGGAGGCGATCACCTCCATCGCGGTCATTGCGGGGGTCATGGAGAAGGTGGGATAGCGCTTTGCCGATGGCCAGCCCAGATTGCCTGCTCAAACACAAGGACTTCGTTCAGTACTACGACAGCATCATGCCGATGTTAAAAAACTTTGTGATGACTGCCACCAGCAAGAAGGCCCCCCTTTCTTCTTTTGCTTTTCTTTGGGCTAAGACCATCTCTGCAGCACTGTGACATGAGGAGAACCGGCTTCGTGGCAAGTCGTTCGAGTGCATGTCTCTGCTACAATCTCAGCTCACTTGATGCTGTGTTCTCCAGGGAGCCTTGCTCTTTCACAGCTGACTCAGTTGAGTTGAGGCTTGGAATTGCTGTTGGCAAGGACGCAGCCTGCACAGGGCAGCTTGTTGAGTTCTTGTTGGCGTTGTTCTGGGACTGAAGGAGAAATTTCTGAACGATGCAAGGGAGGCCATTGGTGCGATGATGAACACCCAGGTGGAGGTGCTGTGCTTACTGCTTACTGACCATACAAGGTTGCGTTTCGGGTTCTGAGGATTAGGAGGTTTTGGGGCTTAGTGCCAGCGGGTTTCAGGGTTTTAGGGTTTGAGAGTTTGAGGGTTAGGGTTCTAGGGTTCTAGGGTTCTAGGGTTCTAGGGTTCTAGGTTTCCAGGGGTTCTAAGGTTCTAGGGCTCCAGGGTTCTAGGGTTTTAGGGTTTAAGGCAGGGTTTTCGGGTATTAGGGTATTAAGGGTTTTAGGTTTTAGGGTTTTGGGTTTACAGCTCCTTAGAGATTTAGGGGTAGGGTTTAGGGCACCCTAGAAGGATTTGAGGGTTTCTGGTTTGGTATTTTAGGGCTTAGGGTTTGGGGCTTGCCGAGAACACGCCGCGCACGGCCGGAAATGCATTGTGTTTGTGATCCAGAAGACATCGGCAGCCTGCTGTGCAACCCAGGCTGACGATGTCCAACGGGAGTCCGCCCGGCAGAATGACCACTTCGTTCAGAGATGCTTTCTTACTCCAGCGCCTTCTTAGCTCGATGCCAGGTACATCAAGGAGGCCTCTGAGCGCATCTGCACCTGCCTGAAGAAGGAGCATTCTTTTCATCAGCGGCTCTGCTCGAGCCGGCTTGTGTTTCGAGTTAACATGCAACATGCTTATACCTCCGAGAGCCCAAGATAGCCCAAGTCGTGGAAAGGACTTCAAGCCCTTCTTGCAGCCGCTTCTGCCGGGAATCTTCAGGCCTTTGTAAGAAGCTCTGGATCAAAGAGCCGCAAACATTTGTTGTAATGAGACATTCCTTTCAAAGCCTTTCAGGTTCCATAGGATGTTTGTGTGCGACAGGAATCTTCGCCTTGACGACTTGCATGACCAGGCAACAAGCATCTTGAGCGCTCTTGTGTACAAACGTGCATTGTTGCGTATTTTGTGAGTACATTGCTTTTGACATGCGTTATGTGATCTTACTGGAAGCTCTCGTCCTCAGAGGCGCCCGCTTCGGGTGGAACTGAGGAGGACGACTACGTCAAGGCCGATGATGCTGTGTGCTGCCTTTTGGCGGAAGCCTTGCCAACCTTCAAGGTCTCAACAGGAGACGGCAAGACAGTCCGAGTCCACACCGAGAAGTTCCACGACATGATGCAGTCTGTGCCATTCCTGGATTTCTTTGCAGCAGCAGCGCGAATATGTTTGCCATGGCAGCTAGGCTTGTCGTGGAGTCGTGCAGGGACTGTTGATGTCTGTCGGTACTGCTGTGCCGATGATGCGTCCTCTTCATGGCTTTTAGGTGCAGCTTTTGCATACCTTCGTGACGGAGATGGAGTCAGGTGAGCCTTCCATATTTGCAGTTCAGGAATCATGAGAGGAACAGTCCTGGCAGTTTAGTTGACAGAGGTTACTTCGAGGCCATTCCCGACACCGCCCAGGCCGCCCGTCGACCCTTGCGGATGCGAAATGTTCTCGCGTTGCCTTTTGCTCCGTTTTGCTCCATCTTGCTCTTCTTTCTCCAAATTTTTGGAAGGTTCTGTTGCCTTTGCTCTCTGCGACGGATGATGCCTCAATGCTCTGCGAGGAGGCTCGATGCTCAGTCGTAAGGCCGCTAAAATCACCCGCTGAGGGCACATGGCTCAGGGCGCATGCGAGACATGCAGGCCATGCAAGCCATGAATGCCAAAGTTGTCATAGTGCAAGGGCAGAATGCAGCACGGCTACTTTGCAGCTTTCGTGTGGAACAGCGTTGCATGTGCCACGCCTCCCTTGCTGTCGTGGTTACCGATCGATTCTGCTTCCTAGCAGCCCCCGTAGATCAGAAAGTCCGGAGAACCATGCAGAGCCCCGAGGTGCGCGGAACGGCCTTGCAAGTGTGGTCGCTGCTCATCAAGGCGGCAAGGCTTGGCGCGGAGGACAGATCGAACAGATCGAATTGAAGAGCTTGATGCAAGTGCAATGCGTAATGCGTCGCCCCACAGTGGTGTACTATGGTGTACTGTACACATTGAGTGGGCGTGTAGGCGTTTCAGTCGGTGTAGTGGCTGCTGCTGGTACGTAATCACACGAGCCATCCCTCTGTCTGAGGAGAGAGGTCAGCCGAATGCCGCTTGCCAAGCGAGAAGAAAAGGCCATTTGCAGGCGACTTGTCTTGGGCCCCTGTTTCCGAGGAAATCGCCAAGCAACTGCTGCAGAAGGGATTGGAGGCTCACATTTGGACGCATGGATGTCAAGGGTGTGGTGGGCGCCGTTTCGCAGTGGGTAGGCTGCCTTCAGCCAGCTGCAGGGGAACCAGGCCCTCGGGGCTGTTGCACAATGTTGCACAATGTTGCACAATGTTGCACATGCCTTTGCTTGCTTTGCAATGCCGCGTGGCGTGTCAACAGTGATGTTCAGGATGCCGAGCAGTTGCAAGAGATTTCTTCCGGCGTGGCTGAGTGCATCAAAAATGTCTTCCCCTTACATGCTCATGCTTTTGCTTCTGCCGAGACCATCCGGGTGTCACGTGGAATATGGGGGGGGTGTTCTGCGACAGGTTGGCCCGGGCGTCCTCGGCAGTGATGAGGTGCAGAAGCTGACGGCAAGGCAAGAAATGGGCTTTGCAGGCATCAGCAAGCATTGTGTGATGTTCCCGTCACGCCATGTTGCAGTGTCTTCACGCTCATGGACCAGTCCTTGCAGAGAAGCCTCGGTCTCGGGGACGAGGTACTTCTTAAGACTGTGAGACTTGGCTTTGTCTTTTCCGAGCTTCATCTGAGGCGCCAAGCATGCCCAGGATCAGGCCAAGGAGAAGCACGAGGCCCCGCAAGTTACCGTGCAGGTCACGCGGGTAGACTAGAGCTGCTGGCTGGAGGCCAGTGCTCTGCCACAAGAGCTCCACGGTGGAGACGAAGATGACGACGAGCACGACCTCAATGCGGAGGAGGCCTGCCGGCCACGATGCGGCCACGATGCCACGAAGCTGTGAGGTTCTGTTTGTCAACTTGAGGACCAGCTTCGAAGAAACTACGAAGAGATCTTGGGTGCCATGATGAAGGCTCTCATTTCGCTTGTCGGTGGTCTTCTGAATCCGAACCTGAATTGGCAAAGGTCTCTCCACAGCAATTCCTTCCATGCCTGTCCGGGTGTGCTGAGCGAATTCAGCAGTGGGCTCCTGCCCCAGGTTGCAAGCAAACCGTCTTACCGTAAACCAGGAGGGCGCAGATCGTGTATTGTGTACACCAGGTAGCCACCAAAGAAAACAAGGCCCTGCTTGCAAGACATGGCAGCCTGTTGGTGAAGGGGCCGGCCATTTTGAACATGACTTGCAAGGTGTTGGGTCTGTATCTAGTGTGCGACCTGCTGGATCATCTGCCGCTGGCTCGGTCTCATGTCGGAACCAAGCGGATTCCTCGAAATCCAGTCTTCAGTATCCAGAGTAGAGTCATCTGCAGGAAAGAGCATTCGGAGAGTGCTTGGCCGATCTTTATGCCAAAGATCTTCGAGTCCATCCATGACGAGGATGCAGACGCAAGGACACACACCGCCCCCCCCCTGCCGCCAGTTTAGCTGATAGTAGCTGTTTAGAGCTTATGGGTTTAATGATGAGTTTATGGATGTCTGAGTCATGCATCCTTGTGAGTTTATGTGTGTTCGGTCTATGGCTTTCTTCTTGGGTTTTTCGGGTTTACAGGTTTAGGTTGGCAAAGCATGGCAAACTTGATCTCGACGAGCCGCATGGGCTTGCACCTTACCTGCATGTTGCGAAGAAACGAAGGTAGCCACAGCATGCAAGTATTTCAAGCAGCGCAGCGCTTGGTGCCTCTCTGTAGATACATGGGTAGATTGTGGGGGGGACACCGACTCACGTGACAGAATCCTGAACTTTGCAATGGAGCGACTCTAATGAGCTGCCAGCTCCACTCGCGGTCCCCAGCTTTACTGCAGCTGGAGTGGCACGGCCAAAAAAGGAGAGAGTGGAGAGTGGAAGAAGAGGCTGATGCGGGTAGATTTGCGCCTTTGTGTTGAACACCGCGGTGCGATGCGGTGCGGACAAAACGCTAAACGGGCTCCTTGAGTGCATTGTAGCTAAGGGCCCGCAAGAACATCTTATGGAGTCCGCAGGCACAGGACTTCCGGACAAGCACGAGTGATCAGCAGTGCAACACTGCTCAGGCCTTGCTCCTGAACTCCCTGAGCGCAGGCAAGGACAATCTGAAAGGATGAGTCGTATGAGTAGAAACAGTTAGGAACAGAAGGAACATGGAACCGTGGAACCTGAGCAGGGGAGCAGAAGGTGGAGGCCGTGGCGCTAGCTGTCGGCCTCGTCGTGCTTGGAGGTGCCCTGCATGGGGTTGCCATGGTTGCTCGTCGGCAAATATGGGCTTGGCGCATTGCTTCGATTCCTGCTCAGTAGCTCAGGCTCTACGGAAATTCTTCGGACAAGGCCTCATCGACCTCCACCTCATCATCAGCAGCAGCATCATCAGCAGCACACACCATCTGCTTGTGATTGCGAGTTGCCCAAGCTATGCAAGATCTTTGAAGTTTGTCTTCTTGGACAGGTCATGTGGACTACTGGAAACAATGGCGGTGGTGGTCTGGAGTTCTTTGTGACGGTGTCGGAGGCTTGTTCATTTGGCCGGCCATGCCCATTCTGGCCACACAGGTGCTGATGCCATTGGCTACCGTCGTGCAATTGGTGGCTGCATACTCCTTGGCGCTAGCCTTCTTCAAAGAGCGAGTTGCTGCTGTTAATCACATGGGCCTTGTTTTGGCAGTGGTCGGAGTTGTGGGCATCAGTGTCGGCAGCCCAGTGTCATGTGCGCAAGGCTGAATGGGAAGCACAGGCCTAACTCCATCTAAGGCCTTTACGCACAGATGAAAACTCCCCCGTTCTAGGCCCTGACCCCGGACCGCCTCGAAATCCTTCACGATCGGCCTGTGCTTGCAGGTCAGCAGCCCCATTCATGCCTCCACGCCTCGAGCAGCATCCTTGGACCGCTGGGAGCAGCCGCGCTTCCTATGCTGGAAGCCAAGAGACTCATTGGGTTTTTTGGCACTTGAAGATGCAAGCGTTGCATGTTGTGCTTTTCATGCCGTTCCCGTTTTGCATTGCCGCACCTTTTGCAAGGTGTGCTCGCCTGCTGCTTGGTGCTGGTCTCTGGCAGCTTTGTGTTGCGAATGCCAATGCGCTGGGCTCTGGCAACTGTCCCTTGGAGACACGGCACGGAGGCATACGGAAGTATCCGCAGAATCAAAATGCCAAACAAGTTCACAGTCAAGGCGATTTGTGAAGCGATTCAGTTCCTCACTTCACGTACACTGGCCGGAGCTGTGCTCAACTGGGGCACGGAGGCCCAATTGCATGATTATGATTCGCCAGTCTAGCATGAGTGAATTGCAGTATTCATATGCAGTCCGCCAGCTGTACGCTCCGAGGTTTCGTTCCCTCGGAGCTGAAAGCTGCTAGACCATCAACCTTGCATGGCAGGAGCAGTCCACTCTGGCTCTTCTAGCTGCCGCAGGGCTGAAGGCCAGATCCGCATCATTCAAAAGCAACTGTGTTAACGCCTTCGTCACTTTCAGATGCCAATGCAGTCATACAGGGCTCTTGCATCATCGGCATTATGCACTTCCAGCAGATGGGCATGGAGGATGGCTGCCAAAAAATGTGTCGGAAGATATTTGAAGTGCTGCGCAGATTGCAGCTTCAAGGCAGGGCCGTCCTCTAACGGGCAAGAATTTGTGAGGAAGAGCTGTCGCGTTTTGTTGGAACCTTCATGGTGGCAACAAACTTGCTGACCGTGGTCATGTGCCTCTCCTTCTTTGGAGATCAGGCCTGTTTGCCATCCCTGGGTAATGCATTCTTGAAGAAGCTGCCTCGTCTTGGACCGGCCGTTTTTCATTCAGAGTGTGACCCCTCATGCAGGTAGTGGTGTCCACTGTGTTCTGTGGATCTGCTTTGGCTACTCTGGTTGGCATCTGGCTTCTGAATGAGACAGACACTAAGCGCTCCACAAAGTCTGGAGACTTCGCTCAGACGGAGAAGCGATGAGAAGCCTGCGCGCTAATGCGCACGAAATTGAGAGTAATGTGAATGACGGATTCGATGCGTGTAGGAGCGCAACATTTGCGCATTTTGGTGCTGTTTGCATCTAGACATGTCCAGACTCTGGGCCGCGGCTTCTGCCTCCGAATCTCCAAATCAACTCCAGTCATCCCGGATGGTGTACAGACCGTGTACAGATGGTGTACAGGTTGGCGACTTGAGCAGCTGCAGTTGACAACAGCTTGTTTCCTTCCACATGGCCCTGAGGTTCGCTAATTTTTCCCACGATGTCACAGATGCGCATCTCAAAGGACGGCAGCCGCGTACGCGGTCAATCTGGCGGCGCCGCTCGCAAAGTTTGCGGAGGCTGGTGCGGGATGTCATTCCTGTGCTAACTGTGCTATCTGTGCCATCTGTGCCATCTGTGCCATCTGTGCCATCTGTGCTATCTGTGCTCGCTATCTTGAGTGGCAGTGCATGGCTCATTTCTGGCTGCCAGGCAACACCCGAGGCCTTCAAACGGCTTGCAAAGGTCGTGGGGATGCCAAAGCCCAAGAAGCGGGCGGGCGCCTTGGGAGAGAGAAGCGAAGTACGGGCAAACGCGGCAAACCCACGCTGCTTGTAGCTGTTGCCAAGTTGTTGCTGCTGTTTTCACAAAAGGATGAGAAGGCCAAGATTGCCATGGACAATGCGGTCGGGCCCTGTAGCCCCACAGAGACAGGCCGGCAAAACACGATGCCTTTCCGTGCGCCTGCATCAGGTAGCTGCTCTCCTTTCGTTGCTGAAGGACTCCGGTGATTCCGTGAGTCGAGAAAAAGCACATGTCAAACCATGGCCAGGACAAGGCGCAACTCTGCCCTCCAGAGGTCCAGGCTGCAGGCTCAGGTGCTTCATGTGTTGGCCGTGCTTCGGCCACGTGCACTTGTGGGCCCGGCGCTGGCTCTGCTGAGGCCTGGGACTTGGTCCTCTCAAAGCTGCCTCTGCGAGAGGACACCGAGGAGGCGCACAGCCCCAGTAGTTCAAGAGCTGCAGATACGGTGGAACAGATGGTCAGCATTGTGAAGTAGGATTCCTTTTTGGGTATCACGACAGGGACTCCAAACAGTGCCAAAAACCGGACCACGATCTAGTGAGCTGGCCAGATCATAGTGTGACCTTTGGCGGGACCGAGGGTCAATCCAAACTGCACGGGAGGCAAAGAAGGTACATGAGAAGCTCATCGACCTTGTCCTTGCTCAGAACCAGGCGCCACAATGCATCGTATTCTCACGCGACTGTACTTGCTTCGTCGCCGCCTGCAGGGGCTCTTAGGGCAAGACAACCGAAACCTGGGGTCCGGGCGCAAGGGAGTATCTGCAAGCCGAGTGTGAGCCGGATGCAAGTTGCGCACCAAGGAAAGTGCTGTCATGCTTGGCTGAGATCTACAAGCAAGAAGGCAAATCCTTAAGAAAGTCAACAGCTTTAGGGTCCGCTCAGTCGCAGTGCCTCTGAGTTTTGCTGCTTTGGGTTCCTCCTCTGCTTCTGGTCAGAAATTTGCAGCAAAGAGAGCGACGAAAAGATCCTGAGAGTGCGAGCCCAAGAAGTCTGCTGACTTGAGATTGGGTGATTCTTCCAGCGTGGCCTGTCGAACTTCCCGGACCTGAGATCTTCAAAGCGCTCCCACAGAACGTGCTCGTAGGCACCGGCCTCGGGCAACGCCTGTGACCGTGGCTAGATGCCAGCATATGAGACAGAGCGCTCGTAGCAAGAATGGGGTATCAAGATATCTTCCCCACCATCACTCTCCCAACAGTGACCTCTGGCGCCAGGTGCTGCCTCCAGCTTCAGCGAGAAGCAGCAGAAAAAGATTGTTACTTGATGGCAGGTGGGTGCTGACATCATCTGACATCACTGGTTCAAGGTTTGAATCCAACACATGTGGCTGGGATTGACCTTCCTATTTACACACGTGCTTGGCATGCGCCGAGGAAAAAATGCTGAGCTCTTGAGCTCTTCGGCTGTGAGTGCACACGGTGTTCACGCCAGTGGCTCCCAACCACGGGCCTACCTAACCCAACCAGACTCCACCCCTCGTCTGACCGTGTGGACCCCTGTAGCAGTGCTCAGTGGAAATTGTGTCAACTGCTGGGTCCTGAGGTCCAGTCTTTTTGCGCAACTGTCAGCTCAAACCTGCTTGTTTTGGTGCTCCAATCGGACTCGCAGACTTCTCGTGCATCGCACAGAGCAGTGGTGCTGAGAAGAAAGATGTATAGACGTATAGACTACACTCAAGGCGTGATATGTCATGTCGCTTCTGCCAAGATTGCTTCCAGCCACTGCTCAGCTGCCCTTTAGCTGACGCGAGCGACGCGCCCTGCTCCTCAAACAAGGGAGCTCTAAGAGGCGTGAAGCTGTCCTTTTTGCGGCCTCACCAACGGCGAGGATTGTTTCAGGACGCTTGGTTTGCAATAGCGGCCTTGTGTGCCTGTATGCTGCACGCTCCTCATACCGTGTGCAACTCACAGCTCTACGCTCTGCTCATGCTGAGGAACCTGGGAGACACTGCAGTCCTCCGCTGCGTCCCATTATGTCCCTTTGCGTGCATCATGCCCTGACAGATGCTGACAGCCATAAGGCTGTCATGCTACTACGATGCAAACAATGTATGGCGATATCTCAGCCTAGCTCGTTTTTCAGAACACATCTTCAAACCCATCGAGAGATTCAGTGAATCTGACAGGGCCCAGCAGACAAAGGCGGGCGTGTGTCCATCTCGAGCATCAAAAGGCGAGAAAGATGCGGTGGAGCACTGTGGGTTGTTTGCAACGCTTGCTGCAGCAAGAGTTTAAACATGTCATGCAAGACGGTCACGACGAGTGAGAACTGTGTAGAGCTCTTACATTGTCCTTGTTTCCGTATTGTCAGAACACTTTTCCGCGACACGGTGTTTCTAATCTTCCAGTAGCTGGCTGGCTGGTTCAGAAATGCACTTAAACTTTGACACTCTGTCCTGCTAAGTGCCAGACGCTTCAAAGTGTTTTGTGGTCTGTGATGCAACTGCACCTGGAATGATGGAGTCGCCGCTACGTCCCTCCATGCGCTGCAAGCCATGGGCTGGGACCTAAGTAATTGTCTCATAAGGCCGAGTTCTGAAACGGAAAGTGAGCCTTCTTGGCAGTCAAGTCGACAGTGGACAGTTGACACCTTGTATCCTGGACTCCCTGACAGTCCGTAGGTCTTGAGCAGCTTCGTGGAAGCCGACACGGATTGACAGCTGAGGATGAATCGGATGATTGATGTATCAGTGGACCCGACTAGCTCTTCCCCTGAGGAGCGGCGTGCCAGGCGCCTCAATGATTTGCTGGTGTCAAAGGCGCGCCCCGTTGTCGCAAGCGCCGTGCTTCCCTCACTAAATCCCGAGCATCCCTTGCATGTCAACTGTGGATACTGTGGTATTCACTGGAGCATGGAGTTTGAAGGAATCAGTGCCGGAGCTTCTCCTGGCACTGCGGCGCCATGCCCCAGAGCTTGGAACGGTGCACTTCGGCACGGCGCTGCACCGCCTCGCGAAGGCCAGAAGGGCGAGAGGGAGTATGTGGAGAGCGTACGTCCTCCGGCTGTCACTACATTGAGTCGCTGAGGCAGAGGATGGAGCGACTTGGCTCTCCTCTCCAGACGTTGCGCAACTCATCGAAGAAGTCACGAGGGAGGTCCATGGTTAGGTGGGATGCATCCTCACCCCCAAAACTCCCCAAAACCTTGCGCCCAAAATCCTGAAACATCTTCCAGGTGTCCGCGCGGTACTTGGCAAACGCCGCTCGGGCCCTGGGCACCTTGGCGTGCCGACACGAGCCATTGGCTTCGGCCACCCGAAGAGGCTGCCGCTCTCAGGCTCCGGATGCAGAAATTCAGGGAAACCCAGGGAAACTCAGGGTTTTTCATCTGTTTCGGGTTTTCACCTAGCCAACTCGCAGCTGCATCTGCAGGTGAACGACTTGGATGTGCAGAACTCGTCCAACAGGGTCCGGAGATCTGCAACGCTCCAGGCAGCCGACATGGCCTCCTACCACATGATTGCAGAAGAGGTGCCTACATGCCAAGGCAACAAAGCACTTCACCCCTGTGTCCTTGAAAATCTCAGGGGATCGCCAGCATCCATCACTCCAGTGCGCAGTCGCCTTCAAACAGCGCACGGAGTCCTGTCCGCGCCTTGCCGAATCGCTGCGGGCAAACAGAGGATGACCCACCGACTAGCCAGGCATCAACTGCCTTGCTGCACCTTCCGCAGAGAGCTCGACGGAATCAGAGCAGGGTGCAGTGCGTGGCCGTGCATGCGTTTCACACTCATGGAGGTTTCGTGCCCACCAAGGTTAATGCAGGCAGCATCGCGGTCAGCGTTGCGCCTGAAAAGGTGGCCAACCCAGGACTCACAGAGGGGGAGATCAGGCAGCTCGAATGTCGACTACGGCTTTGTTCTGCCTCTTGCAGGAACTGGTGAATACTGTCTGAGGTCCAGGTGCCGGAGAGTCTTTGGGTTTTTTTTGCTGCCCTCCGCGGTCGGTACTGGGCAGGGCGAGTTCAACTTTGCGACAAGCCGCTATTAAGTTTGCCGGTGGCCGCTGCCGAGCTCCCAGAGAGTGAAGTGATCATGCAGCAGATCTGACACTGCACTCAAACGGACCCATTGTCCAGTTGACAGCGGTGCTCATCCAGTTTCAACCTGACTGTCGGGAAGAGTAGTCCATTCTCGAAGCTCCCCATGCGAACGATCCCCGGCTCGCCGCTAATCCGAAGCATGCCTAAGTCTCAGACCCTCGGAGGAGAAGAGGAATAGCTTTTAGTTGCAATAAGAGGGGCACTCAGAGTGGGGAAGCTGGGCACAGGTGTCACTCTTAAGACTCTGCGGGTGTGTGGCAGGGCGTTGCTCGAAGCCCCGGAAAGAACACAAAAACGAAAAAAAGCGGAAGAACGAACGAACGATGGGTAGAAGAAGATTGGCTGGCTGATGAGGGGACTTAGAAGGATTCTGGGGATACCCGTTCTTGTCGCCACCAAACTTGATTGCCGGATGTGCGCATAGCACGAAGTGACGGTTCCCCGCCCTGGATCCCCGATATGGAAGAAGAACCGTAGGGAAGGAAGGATGCGGGAAGCACTCACGAAGAAGAACAACACGACAACAGAAAATTTACAAGAACATGCAAAGCAACAAGCAATGGTGGTGACATGATAAGAAGATGAGGACGAGGAATGCAAATAGTATTAGTACGAGCAATAAGGATAGAGAATGAGCCGTACCAGGCGAAACGCACGTGTTCTGCAACCATCGTAGGCCCTCGGCCGATTGTCTCAGCATGAAGCACGTGACCTATCCAACACGTCCTGGAGGCCGTGCTCCTCACCGACTTGTATTATGCAAGCGAATGCAAAGGGAATGCTCCTGTTAGCTGTTGCTCGTCAGTGAAGGTCGGCAGTTCTGGCTTCCCAACATCTTCCTCTGCTTGCGGCGACTGCTGAGCAGGATTGCCCTACTTGCAATGCAGCTCCATGCTGCCACATTCGGAAGAGGTAGTGAATTGCATGGTCTGGGTCCACAGTCCACGGCATCGGTTGGATTCCTCTGAAAGCATTGTAACAGCAGAAAAGCAGTGAACATGTCATGGACGGTAGCTCATTGGCCTGAGTAGACGGCGTGACGCCTTGCCAGGCAGTCAGCAAGCTACAGCTGGGAGACACGCAGGCCCAGAACTCATTGAGTACTCATTGCCCAGCTCCTCATTGCCCAGCTCCGTGGATCCAGAAGTGCCGTGTACTGAAGAAGTCCCTGTGTTGAAAGCATGCAGGGTGTGCATTAAAGTTGACGAGGGTTGTTGTACACCGATGCGTGAGATCGGTGTGTGCCATTTTTTCAACACAAACTTTGCATCTCGTGGCACTCGCATTGATGAAGTCCTTCTTGAACGCCACTGCAGGCCCTGTCCAACATGCTGCGGGGCCTCGGCACCGCACAGGACGCGAGACGTGCTCGACAATGATACAATTGGGTGAAGTGAGGTGTGTGATTCAGTATACTTTCTTATTCTGCTCGCATACTTCTTCTGTCCGTAGTTTGGGTCGATGCCCTTGCTGTCTCAGCGTGGGCTGTTTTGAAAGGCGCTGCAAGAGCTGCCAGCAGCTGCCGTTGTTGAGGATGTTTGCATAAGGCCGCCTGTTAAGGACGGGCTTGGGGGCCCTGAATGCCGTGTGGCTTCCATGTTGCAGGTAGAGCGAGCCGACCGCGCAAGACACTTCGACGTTGATGTGGTGCTTAGCGACGCCTTCTATCAAGGAGGACTGTGAACAGGTTGCACGGTTAAAGAAGCTAGCTCTTTAGCAGCTTTCGTTCTTCTTTACAATCTTCTTATCTTTTCACCCTCAAGATGCTTTTGCGCCCAACCCTAAACGGTTGAGTGTTTAGGGGTATGGGATTCAGAGCTTAGGATTAGGATTTCGTAGGGTGTTTAGGGTCCGCCCTTAACCCGTATACGCCCTCGTCAGCAATGAAAGGGGAACCACATCCAGCCACAGAGCACGGACCGGCTTAGTTGGCTGCCGTTGAGCATTTCCGAAGCATAAGCCCCAAACCCTGAACCTTAAACCCGAAGATCCGGAAACCCCAAAACCCTAGAAACCCAAGACCCAAACCCTAAACGACCCTCAGTCCAAAAACCCGAAACCTTAAAAACTAAACCCTTAACACAACATCACAGGAACTTGAATGTGATATTCTGAGTTAGCAAAAGTTGTTTGTCTAAACGAGCTGGCAGCGCACGAAGCCGCGTTCCATCCAAAAAACGCTCCAAACCCAGGCTGAAATAGATCCAAGACGTCCCTGGAGGCCAACTATTCACTTCATTTAAAAACTCTGTATTTGACAGCATGTCATCATTCTGAGTTTTTGTTTAAGCATGTTGTCACCGGTCAAAAGGCTGCCTCCTAAACAGCTGCCTCCACAAAAGAATGCAAGTAA